CACAAGAGACTGGGCCCTACACCTGGTCGCCAACAGGGATCTTCAAATAGACACAGGAGGAGGAGGAGGGGGAGGAGAACGAGGAGGGACCAGAGTGAAGTCAAGATGCCCCAGCGATGCTGCAATGCACCTCCTGTCCGAAGTACTTTCCCCACGACTCGCTGCAATCATCCCCGCATCCTTTTCACCAGAAGCAGCACCCCCATTGACGACACGCACCCTGTGGGTCTGGCATGTGGGGGAGAGCTCCGTTCCAACGTGGAAGCGCACTGCATCCGTCCAGCTCGCCATCAGGAGCTCGAGAAGGTATGGTAGTACACCTTCACGGGGTGTCCAGGGAGTTCTCCGTTTCGAACAAGGATTGCCTCCAATCAGTGTGACTGGCGCGCGTGGCTACACTTCAGGCAGTGCGTATCGACGAAGTCACAAGCGAGAGCCCCACTTTGAACAAGGAATGGCCCTCCGTCCGTGCAGCCGCTACATGTTGATGACGTCGATGTGAGGGGGCTACAGGCAAGAGCACCACTTTGAACAGGATCAGTCGTTCTCCCTCGTGGCCGTACCGAGCATTAGAGACGGATGTGCGCGGCGCTGCGGTGAGAGCCCTCGTTTGAAGACGGCCTGTCGGCCTGTGCTCCATTCGTGTACGTGTTGCACGTTTTTGCGGCGAACGTCCGCGGCGCTGGGGCGAGGGCCCTGTTTTGAAAGTTGCCTGTGCTTCATCCCAGTAGCTGCTGGAATTTCAAGTTTCAGGACCGTGCACCGTGCGGAGGTCTGGGGCGGAACGACCCGCCCGCCCCGACGACATGTCTTGGGGCGCAGCAGGGAGGATTAAGCTGTAACGGCAGGGATGGAGGATTACGCTGATGATGATTATTCTGATATTGCTGATGGTGATGAGGATGCTGATGCTAAAACTATATATATTCGTATTCGCATTCGCATTCGCATTTGTATTCGCATTCGTATTCGTACTGCTATCACCGTTGTTGGTATATATGGTGCTTATTTTGCTAATTGTAATTAAACGTGCGTGTTTCAGTGTTTCGTACTACTATTCGTAGTGCTAGTTTTTAATGTTAGTACTCGCATCAATATTCTGATGATTTTGATGACGATGATGATTTGGATGATGGTGGTGATGATGGTGCTGATGCTGTGGTTGCTGCTCATGAGGATAATGCTGTGATCACTGCGGCCATGATCGTTCACGGAAGTGTTCTGCAATTTCTCGAACCGAGCCCGCCCCGCGCTGCGCGCCAGGCGTGCCCGCGGTTGATGCGCGGAGGGCCCGCGGCACGTGCGCGGGCCGTCCAGAAACCCGCCCTTGGATTCGAGGCCTACTCAGGGGCCGCTCTCAGCGGCGAGGAGGCCGCACCAGAGGCGGCAGTGGACTCAGAGAGGGTCCCCTGGGTCGTCATTCCAGGCAGCGCCCATCGCGGGCCGACCAGGGGGGTGGCAGGTGCCGAACCTGCGGTTCGGGCGCCCGTGCCGCTGGAAGCCAGTGCTGCGCAATCTGGGCCACCCCGGGTTCAATGGAAGACCTCGTCGGGGTGCAAAAAGGAGGCGCGGTCGCACGGCAGGCGATCGTCGCCAGACCAGAAACGGCAAGTACACCAGCGGGTGGGATCGCCTGCGTCGGTTCCAGTGTTGGGCGAGGCAACCGACGCGTTCTTTGACGATCAGCGGGGCTACTCATACACGGTCAAGGTCTTCGACCCGACCAGGACACAATGACGGCGCTGCCATCTGGCGCGCTGCAGCAGACCAGGGACGTCCTTGTCCGCTCGTGGCTGCTCGAGCTGCCCATGGCTGGGGCCTGCGCCGCCAGCGCGGCAGCGAGGTGCGAGACCTGGGTCGTCGGCTCCAGGTTCGCGCGGCTCGACAGCCCCGTCTCCGTCGACGCCATGGCGCAAGACGATCTCGGCGACGTTTAACTGGAGGGTCTCATCGTGGCGCCCGTCGTCTGCCTCCCCTGCGACGCCGGCTCGCACGCCTCCGTAGATTATGTCTCTATGTCTCGGTGGCGCTGCGGTCGGCTCTAGGCAAGGAGATGCCAGCATATGTGTCCTGCGTGAAGGTCTTGCCGGCGTTCCTGGCGCGCGTCGCCGAGAGCTGCGCGGAGGGCGAGGTTTTCGAGTTTTTCGACTCAGCTGGCGGGGCAGCTGTCGGGGCGGCGCAGCCGGACCTGCTCGAGCTGGCCGATCCCGCCCCGCAGCCCGGCGACTGGAACATCGGGGTCTTGATTCGCCCCGTCGCGTTCCCCGACCCCGCCCCTCGGGGTGATCTGGGGCGCGTCGGCTTCCAGCTCTCCGTCGACGGGCAGGTCGATGGGGCGGGGTGCCTCGCCGCCGACGAGCAAGACTGGGGGGGCAACGGGGGCGGCGAGGTCGTTGCAGCCCACGAGGCTGCCGCGCAGGCGGGCAGGTCGGTCACGTGGCGCCTGCGTGGCGAGCAGCCCGGGCGCGGGGGGAGGGGCTCCTGACGGGGCTGGAGAGCCCTTGGCCCCGCCGCCAGGCGCCCCCCCTTCGGCGGGTGCCGCCGCTGCTTGCTGCGCCCGCGGAGAGGCCCGCGCAGGCCGCTCCGCCCGCTGCCGGCAGGGGCGCGGGGCCTGCGGCGAGGCCGGGGCCCGCGGCGGGCAGCGCCGAGAGAGCCGCCGCCTCTCTGCGCGCGTCAACGTGTGGCAGGACGATCTGCAGAGCGCCTTCGAGAGCATCGAGCGCGACCCGCTGGGACTTGCAGGCGGCCAACTGAATAAGGGCCCCTCGAGCCGAGCCGCAGGTCGAGGAGAAAAGGCGTGGAGGCCCGTGGCCTCGCTTCTGCCTGGGGCCCCCCCGCTGCTCGAGGGTCGACCCTCCGGGCGGGGCCCTCGGCGAGCGCGCTGGCGCTTGCCCCCTTTGTCCCGGGCAGGTCGCCCTTCCATTGCTCTCCCGCGGCGCCGCCCGGCACGGCGGCGCAGCGGCGCGGCCCGCGCCCGCGCCTCTCCGGTGCGGGGCGGCGGTGGAGGCCCCCGGGGGCTGCCCCGGCGGCCCGACGGGCCCCTTTCCGCGCGAGCAGGGCAGCCGCGCGGCTTCAGAAAGGAGGGCCGACCTCGACCTCGGGGCTCTCGTCGAGGCCGGCGGCCGCGATGCAGGCGGGGCCGCCGAGCTTTCGGCGCCGTGGGCGCTGTCGGGGGTCGGCGGCTCCAGGGGTGCGAAGGGGCGCGAGCCCGCCCTGGGCGACCCCCACTTCGAGGGCGCAGCCTTGAGCTCCGGAGAGGCAGGCGGGCCCAGTGGCCGGGATCAGCGGTGCCGAGTGAGCGGCGGAGCCCTTGGCGATCAACGGGGCCATCGAGCGCGAACCGCAGAGGCCGCGTCGACGCCGCGGCCTCCGCCGAGCTCGTCTGCACCGCCACCGGCGCGCAGTGGGGCGTGGCGCTCCACGGCAGGCAGAGGATCAGTTGCGGGTGCCTCGGGGGCCACGAGCGCTTCTGGGACACGCTTGCGCAGCGCGCTCCGCGGGTCTCGGCGGCGCGCTATTGGCTCCACGCGCTGCGCAGGTCTCGGCGGCGCGACCTCCTCGGCGCACGGGTCGGCCGGTGCTTGACGGTCATGCAGCAGCCAGTCAAGCGAACGGCTCCTGGAGGCTGGCCTGGCTGACCCCGGGCCCTGGGGCTCTCGGCCCGGCGCGGGTCGGGTGGCGAGAGGCCTCGCGCGCCCCGTGGAGTTTGCAGTCTCGCCTGGAGAGAGGCAGTCGGGGCCGCCCTCGAGAGGGGGCGGGGGCGCCGCCGATGACCTCGCCAGTGAGGGCCGCGTCTGGGGCAAGAGGTCGAACGAGTGGGCCGCCAAGAAGGGGCGCGGCGGTGGCGGGCGAGGCGAGTGGCCGTCTCCAGATGGGTCCGACAGTTTATAGAAAGACGCATCAGCGATGTTGCAACAAGCCCTCCCCCAATTCCCATCTTCACAGGTCACAGGTCCCCGTCAACTTTGTTTCATTTCGGCAGGTGGCCCATTGAAAGACAACCATCTGATAATCCCCAATCATGTCAAAAGACAACGTTTCGAAATTCAACGCTGCGGATCAAGGTGACCCTTGCGTCCTGGCTGTCCTAAATCGTATCAGAACGCCGTTCCTTCTTGGATTTCAACGCCGCGATATAACGTGACTGTTGTGCCCTGGCAGTCTGAAGCCGTGCCAGAACACCATGTCTGGAACTTCAACCATGCGAATCCTTGAAACGATGCGCGCGGCTGTAAGGCGAGAGCCACGTTTTGAAACGTACCTGCCCTCCATCCGTGCAGCTGCTGCGAACTTATCAGACGAATGTGCACGGCTCGAAGGCCAGTTTTTTCCAACATTACCCGACCTCCATCCGTGAAGCGTGTTGCAAACTTTCAAGACGAATGTGCGCGGCGCTAATGCGAGAGCTGCTTTTTCAAAACCACTCGCTTTCCACCCGTGAAGCGTGTTGCAAACATTTAGGACCTAAGGCGAGTGCCACATTTTGACAATCAACCGTCCATCCGTGAAGTGGTTGCGAATTTTCAACACGAATGTGCACGGCGCTGAGGCGATAAATGATTTTCCAAAACTACCCGCTTTCCATCTGTGAAGCTGTTGCATTTTTGTTGCAAATTTTGAGACCGAGTGTGCGCGGCACTAAGGCGAGAACCACATTTTGAAAACGACCCGCCTTGCAACTGTGAAACAGTTACAAGTGCTAAGCTTCAAAACCAGATGTGGCGACAAAAAATCAGGCCCGCCCAGCCCGCCCTACCGACACGTTTGGGGGTGCGACAGAGAGGTATTGTTTATAATGGCAAGGGGTGGAAGAAGAGGAGGTGGAGCAGTTGGAGGCAGGAGGAGGAGGAGGAGGGGGAGGAGGAAGAGGAGGAGGAGGAGGAGGAGGAGGAGGAGGAGGAGGAGGAAGAGGAGGAAGAGGAGGAGGAGGATGAGGAAGAATTCGAAACCTTCCGCTCCACCTCCTGGGCGCGGGCGCAGGGCCAGCCCCGCGGCCACAGGTGCCCACCGCCCCGCCGGTCGGCAGCCACGCGACGCAGCCCGCGCACGCGCCGGCGCCCCCGCAGGCTTTGCCGCGCGGCAGCCGCCGCTGCTTTTCGCCCCTCCTCGGGAGGGCCGCCTGCCTTTTTCCCTTGTCCTTCGACGGCCGCTCAGCTGGCCGCCCCGCGCGCGCGCGGGTGGGCACCCCAAACACAGAGTCAGGGGTGGTCAGGGGCGCTGCCCCCAATCCTCCCTCCCTTCTCCTCCTCTCTGTCTCCTCACCTTTCGCTCTCGGTTAGCGTTGGCTTGGCGCCTTTTTGCGTTCGTCCCCCTCCTTCCTCCTCCCCTTGTCCCTGCACCGTTCTCCTTCCAGTTCCCCTTCCTCTTTCCTGCTCCCTTCTCCTTCCGCCTCCCTTCTTTCTCCTTGTCGCCCCGCTAGGCGTGTCACTCTGGCGTGCCAGGCGTTTCGCCTGAGACTTCCTTACCGCTTATGGTCCTGAAGCTTGATGTCCAATGGCTTTCGGCCCATCCTGCCACCGTGCCTGAGTTGTGGGTCTGAGGCCTCGTAGATGTTCGTTGCGATCTTGTCCCTCTCGGGGACCTCGTGGATGTATTTTGGAGGCCTCTGGGGGGCTGTTTGGGGGCCCCTTGGGGCCTCTTTTGGGCCGCTTGGGGGTCTCTTTCGGGCCGCTTGGGGACCTCTTGGGGTCTCTTGGGTGATTCTTGGGGCGGAAGGCTCGGATTTTCGGTTCGTGTTCTCCGTCCGTTTGCTGGCCCCCTCCTTCATCTCACCAGCCTCGCGATATTTGATGCTTTATGATTGGGTCTTTCGCCAAGATAATAGGGCCCCGCACTTTTCGAGCTGCCGACGCTCCAGAACTTCCCTATAGGCCCCCCAAGACGCCCCAAGACGGCCCCAGAGGCCCCCAAGAGGACATCCAGAGGGCCCCAGGACGGCCCAAGAAGGCCCCGAGAGGCTTCCAAGACGGGGGGGGGAAGCGGACGTCGGCGTGTGGGGACGTCTCCTTGGTTTGGCCAGAGCCCCGTGCGCCGCCGTGTCGTGCCCATTTCCTTCCCAGCTCTTTCTCCCCTCTCCTGCCTTTCGTGGCGTGTTGCGTTCCTGGCCGCCCTGCCGTCGGTGGCCCGACCCCCAGAAAAGGGGCCACGAGGCGCCGACATGGGGCGGCGGGGCCATGCGGTCCCGGGCATCTGGGGCTCACTTGGGGGTTCCCGAGGGGGTCACGAGGCGTGTGAGGGGGTGTGCCAAGGTGAGGCGGCGGGGCCATGCGGACCTTGGCATTTGGGGCTCACTTGGGGGCTCCCCTATGGGGCCACGAGGCGTGTGAGGTGGCTCAGCATTGACTGGCTCGCGCGGTGTCACGGGTCACCCGTCGTGGGCGGCCAGGATCGACAAAGAAACAATCGACACCACCCCACCTACGGCCCTCCATGTTTCGCTACGGCCCATCGGGCGTCGCAGCGTATACCACGCGAAAGCCCACGCCAGATTTCCTGGTATACGCTGAGGCCCGTGGGGCCGTAGGTGGGGGTGGTGTCATGCGTTTTCTGGTCCACAGGAGGGTCTGATGAATCTGGGGTTGGGTGGACATCCTGACTGGGGCCATGCCATTCGCCCAGATCCCATGGCCCCCCCCCCCGTCTTACTTCGACACGCCCCTTGTCCCCCCCCCCCCCCCCTGGGCAGCGCCTGTGCCTCGAGCCATTGGTTGCGACGCCCCGCCCCTCTTGGACGCCCCGCGCTCGGACGCCCTCGACACTGGTCGGCCTGCTTGTTCGGCGCAAAGGGGGGCCTTCTTCGTGTGCCATGTCCACCGCGGCACCGCCTCCCGGCGGAGCCTGGGCCAGCCGACCCGCCGTCAGGCTCCTCCTGCCCCCCCCCCCCTTCGTGCTTCGTATAGACACGCGAGCTGTCTGTGCTGACTGCCCCTGCCAGCCGCAGCGCCACTCTTACGCGACAGCCGCCAGGCTCAACGCGCGTGCAGTCCAAAACAGATCCCCTCCGTGCTCCATCCCCTTTCCACATGACTGGCTTTTCTCCGTCGCGCCCCCAAGCGTGTCGGCAGCGTGGTCCAGGCGTTTCGCCTGAGGCGCCCTCACCGCTCATGACCCTGGAGCATGTGCTTTGCAACAGTTTCACGGGTGGAGGATGTGCTCGTTCTCAGAATGTGGCTCTCGCCGAAGCGCCGCGCACATTCGGTTCAACAGTTTGCAACAGTTTGAAGGATGGAGGGAGGGTCGTTATCACCTGGTGACTCTCGCCTTCGCGCCGCGCGCATTCGTTGTACAAGTTTGCAGCAGCTTCCAGGATGTAGAAGTGATGGCTTTCAAAACGGGACCCTCGCTTTATCGACGCGCATTATATAGCTACAAGTTTGCAGCAGCTTCAAGGGTGACAGGTGGTTCCTTTTTCGACAATGTGGCGCTTGCCATAGCGCCGCGCACATTTGTTCCCAACCATCCTGTGGTGTTGGGTCCTCGTTTTGAAGAGACGTCGCCCCACGTTCCTCTCCTCCTCTCCTCCTCCCCCTCCTCCCTCCTCCCTGCGTTTCACCCACCCCGTGCACCGCTTCGTGGTTTTAGAAGGAATTCCACCGACGGCACCAGTGCCACCGCCCGCATGCGCCCCCCCCCCCAACCCAATTTGGCACACCCCTCACACGTTTCGTGGCCCCATAGGGAGCTCCACCGAAGGCCCCAGTGCCACCGCCCGCATGCGTACCCCACGCCCAATTTCGGCACACCGCTCACACGTTTCGTGGCCCCATAGGGAGCTCCACCGAAGGCCCCAGTGCCACCGCCCGCATGCGTCCCCCACACCTACTTTGTCAAACCCCTCACACGTTTCGTGGCCCCATAGGGAGCTCCACCGAAGGCCCCAGTGCCACCGCCCGCATGCGTCCCCCACACCCAATTTGGCACACCCCTCACACGTTTCGGGGCCCCATAAGGAACTCCACCGAAGGCCCCGGTGCCACCGCTCGCATGCGTCCTCCATGCCCAATTTTGCACACCGCTCGCACGTTTCGTGGCCCCATACGGAGCTCCACCGAAGGCCCCAGTGCCACCGCCCGCATGCGTCCCCCCCCACACCCATTTCAGCACACCCCTCACACGTTTCGTGGCCCCATAGGGAGCTCCACAGAAGGCCCCAGTGCCACCGCCCGCATGCGCCCCCCCCCGCACATTCAATTTCGGCACACCCCTCACACGTTTCGTGGCCCCATAGGGCACTCCACCGAAGATCCCAGTGCCACCGCCCGCATGCGTCCCCCACACCCAATGTCGGCACACCCCTCACACGTTTCGTGGCCCCATAGGGAGCTCCACGGAAGGCCCCAGTGCCACCGCCCGCATGCGCCCGCCACGCCCAATTTCGGCACAGCCCTCACGCGCGTTTCAGGGAGCTCCACCGAAGGCCCCAGTGCCACCGCCCGCATGCGTCCCCCACACCCATTTCGGCACACCCCTCACACGTTTCGTGGCCCCATAGGGAGCTCCACCGAAGGCCCCAGTGCCACTGCCCGCATGCTTCCCCCACACCCATTTTGTCAAACCACTTACACGTTTCGTGGCCCCATAGGGAGCTCCACCGAAGGCCCGGGTGCCACCGCCCGCATGCGTCACCCACGCACATTCCGGCGCACCCCTCACGCGTTTCGTGGCCCCGTAAGGAGCTGAAAGGAGGGCTTCCGCTAGGCATCCGCATGCTTGGAAGATGCCTATGCTGTATCGCACTTGTCATAACTGCCGACAGCGACTGTAAGACATCTAGACAGGAACACATTTGCCAATTTCATCATTCAGTGCGCTGTAGGAAAACACTACGCCTACATCTCCATGCAGTATCTGTGAGTCTCTACTATCACTAACATCATCGTTGTGGCGGTGCTCACTCTTGTAGCATTGCAGCGTTAACTTGTATACTCAATCGGGTACTTGGCCCTTCAAGAACATCTCCTCGGCACGCAACTCGGAAGCAAAGACAATTGAACAGAGATCTCGCAATACGCCATGCCATGCGCACCAGTTGCAAGTACAAGGGTTGGGGCGCATCGTTTTTGGTTCAAAATAAGGTGTTCTGCGTAGTCGCTCACTAGGAACATCGCGAGACGCTTTCGCCGCAAGGTAGACAACGAAGGAATGGCTGCATCTGCCTCGCCCCTGCTGATCGCGCTCATCGCCCTTGCTGTGATGTTCCCGGCGGTCTCAGCCCGTCGACTCAACATGACTATCCCCAGCAATCAGAAGGTGACCATTGACGGCGTCGACGTGTACTCCCAGTCTTCTGGCTTCGGGATCCTCAACACCTGCCAGCAGTTTGCCAGCAAGACCGTGAGCGATGACGCCAAGCCTTCGATCACGGTGTGCGGCACGGGGACCAAGGTCACGGTGTACTTGAGGAACCGCTGCGTAGGGTACCACGAGTACAGTCTTTCTATCTGATGGGCCGATTTTCCACCACCGCTACCAGAGGCAAGAGAGGGAGGAGGACGTGCAGGAGGATGAGGAGGAGGAGGAGGAGGAGGAGGAGGAGGAGGATGAGGAGGAGCAGGAGGAGGAGGAGGAGGAGGAGGAGGAGGAGGAGGAGGAGGAGGAGGACCTCCCCATCCTCCCTTCTCCTCCGTCCTACATACGGTAGTGGTGGTGGTGGTGGAAAATCGGCCCATCACTATCTGGGGAGCTCGAGGTGCGCACCTGCCGGCAGAGGGCGCCGCCGCCAGGCCTCCGCACGCCCCGCTCGGGAGCCACACAACCTGGCGGATCACGTCTCCACCCGGCCAGGCCGGGAGGCCGCGGCCGCCGGGATTCGATCTGGGCGCCTGGGTTGGCCTGCAGAGGCTTGGCTCTGACTCCTCATCCCCTCCTCCAGCCTCCTCCCCCCTCCTTCTCTTCCCCGTCTCCTCCCTTCTCCTCCCCTTCTCCTCTCCTTCTCCTCCCCTTCTCCTCCCCTTCGCGCCCTGCGCGCAAGCTGGAATCTTTTCAAGACGAATATGCGCGACGCGCAGGGGGGACCCACATGTTGAAATCGTGCCGCCCTCCATCGGAGTAATTGGTGCAACCGTCGAGCGTTAGGGTCTTACGTAGCTG